TACAATGGAGAAATACTCCAGCTGACAGCACTACCATTCGGCCTGTCTTCAGCACCCCGCACGTTTGCAGCAGTAACAAACTGGGTTGCCGAAGTACTTCGTCAACGGGGCATACGCCTTTTGGTGTACCTGGACGATTTTCTCCTGGCATCTCAGGACAAATCCAAGCTAATGGCTCAGGTTGCGGAAACTCTCACCATCTTGGAATCTCTAGGTTGGCATATAAATTATCAGAAGTCCGTAACCACACCTACGCACAGGCTGGAATACTTGGGACTGGTCTGGGATACACACAACCAGACAATAGCATTGCCGACCAAGAAAGTAATACGTATAAAAAACTTTCTAACAAATATATTGAGTCGAAACAGTTGCTCATTGAGAGAACTTCAGACTTTACTAGGCATGCTAAATTTTGCCAACCATGCAATCCCTTGAGGCCGGCATCATTGTCGCAGGGCACAGGTCTTACTAAAAAAGTTCAGTCAAAGAACACAGAAAAGACCACTTTGCTTCAAAGTACGGCAGGATTTACGATGGTGGTTGGATGCGATAGAGGGCAGTCCAACGCGTGCGTTCGTGCAGCGGAATGTTGTTGAATTTAAAGATTTTAATTATGCAGATATTTAGTGTATGACGTCGTTTAATTGTGTATGGTAAAAAAAAATTTGTGCACGCAACCATTGTGGAGAAATTCACCAAAAACTGATTCCGCTGGGCGAACGTTGTCCTGGCGGAACTTTTTTTAATCCATAGACTTTAGAAGAAAAGAGATGTATCCAAAAATTAGTGTGTATTTGTGTGTAATTGTGTATGTATGAATAAAACTAGTGCATGCATAAACTTCGGAGAAATTCAAGTTTCCGCTACGCGAACGTTTGGCCATTAGCTAGTTTTCATATAAAGCGCTTACATAGAGAGCTGTAGATTTTTACATAGGTTGTTTTGAATTTGTGTATATTTGTTTAAAAAACAGATTTAGAAAAAATCGAAGGGTTTAAAAGATAAAAATATAAACGTAAAATACGCTTATTAGGTCTTAGTTCTTAAAGTATGCACTTTAGGGTCTAGATTTTCACGTTTATACAAACCTTGTAAGTGTCTGCAACATGTTGCCAAGTATCAATGATGTTCCGTTAGTAATTAAATAGTTATAGGACAAATTTACCATGAACAGATCACTGTTTACAAAGCAGTCAAATATCACGACGTTCCGTGTAGGTGTCCAAAAATAAATGACCTATAAATTATTTCGAAACAACAAGTGTGTTATCACCTGTACCAATTCAATACCGGTATTATACTGTAAATTTTAGGATGTTACCTAAATATATTGAACAGCCGCTTTTTTGTAGCCATCCGAACTTGGTCGGGTTATGTAGGTTTTCGATGCTTCGTCAGTATTATAATTGTTTTTCTTTAATTACTGAATTTAATGACATGAAATTTTGCATGTGTATAGTTGAATAAATACACTAATTACTGGCATACATTTTACCATGCAATTAATTTAGAACGTCGTGATATTTGACTGCTTTGTAAACAGTGATCTATCATGGTAAATTTGTCCTATAACTATTTAATTACTAACAGAACATCATTGATACTTGGCAACATGTTGCAGACACTTACAAGGTTTGTATAAACGTGAAAATCTAGACCCTAAAGAGCATACTTTAAGAACTAAGACCTAATAAGCGTATTTTACGTTTATATTTTTATCTTTTAAACCCTACGATTTTTTCTAAATCTGTTTTTTAAACAAATATACACAAATTCAAAACAACCTATGTAAAAATCTACAGCTCTCTATGTAAGCGCTTTATATGAAAACTAGCTAATGGCCAAACGTTCGCGTAGCGGAAACTTGAATTTCTCCGAAGTTTATGCATGCACTAGTTTTATTCATACATACACAATTACACACAAATACACACTAATTTTTGGATACATCTCTTTTCTTCTGAAGTCTATGGATTAAAAAAAGTTCCGCCAGGACAACGTTCGCCCAGCGGAATCAGTTTTTGGTGAATTTCTCCACAATGGTTGCGTGCACAAATTTTTTTTTACTATACACAATTATACGACGTCATACACTAAATATCTGCATACTTAAAATCTTTAAATTCAACAACATTCCGCTGGACGAACGCACGCCAGTCCAACCCCATTACACAAAAAAGAAATTACGCATTTCTTAACCACAGACGCAGCGGATGCGGGCTGGCGATCAAGCTTGAACAGCCAATACCTTTCGGGGAAATGGTCGATAAATCAAAGAAACTGGCACTCCAACATGAAAGAGATGTACGCAGTTTTCGCAGTCATCGGTTCCCAAGGTGCTCTGCTAACCAATGCCCACATTCTAGTACAGTCGGACAACAGGACTCTTGTAGCCTATATCCGAAATCAGGGCGGGACGCGGTCGCAGAAATTACTGGGACTAACAACCAGGTTAATGGAAGTGTGTTGTCGTTTCAACATCACAATGACAGCATTTTACCTACCAGGAAACCTGAACGGCATCGCAGATTGCCTGTCAAGGGGAAGATCAGTACCCGAATGGCATCTCTTACCACCGGCCACGGAGGCAATATTCGAAAGGTGGGGCATACCAGAAGTCAATCTTTTCGCAACAAGAGAAAGTGCTGTAGTACCCAGGTATGTAACACTAAACTCAAAAGATGGCTCAGCGCTTTTCTGCGAGGCTTTCAGTCGAAAATGGATGTTCCATCTGGCGTGGGTATTCTCACCTCCAAGCATGATACCACGGGTCCTAGCACACTTGAACAGTGCAGTAGGTACATACTTGGTGGTAGCACCCCGTTGGACTCAGTGCTTCTGGTTTCCGGATCTACAGGCACGCGCTCTAGCGCCTGCACTGCCGATAGGGAACCTGAAAGAAGTGTTAGTGGACCAGACAACAGGGCTAAGCCCCCCCTCAAGTGGAAAAGCTAATGCAGGCTTGGAAAATTGGGGGTGGGAGGAACAAGTAGCAGACTGGAGTGTAGAAGAGCAACAGTTATTGCAGAACAGCTGACGTCCTTCCACCCTAACAACATATAGTGCTCCAATAAAAAGATGTTTGCATTGGTGTAAGACACACAATGTTGACAATAAAAATCCAGGGGGTAAGGATGTAGCTCGCTTCTTAGCCAGTCTTTTCCTCCATAATAACTTTGCATACAGTACAATTCTTTTACACAAGTCGGCCATTGCCACGTACTGCGCAGCGACAGTGGAGAACCTCTCAAAGAACTTTTTTATTCAACAGGTTTTAAAAGCTGTCTCTCTTTCCAGACCACTTCCAGCTTAACTTCCTGTATGGGATGTTAGCATTTTATTTAGATGGTTGCAATCTTCCACTTGTTCAAATTCTTTATTTGAACAAAGCAGAAGAACTGCTCTGATTCTGTTATTAGCATCAGGCAGAAGATTACATGATCTTACCCTCTTGGAACTTACTAAGCAAGGGTTTGTAGAAACTGAAGACACTATTACATTCTGGCCTAAATTTGGGTCAAAGACTGACTCAGTTTCACACAGACAGTCAGGCTGGCTTCTCATAAAACATCAAGACTTAAGGATTTGTCCAGTAAGTCATGTAAAGCAGCTAGTTAAGATCTCAGAGGCTAGAAGAAGTCTGGACCGCCAGGTTAGATCTCTTTTCGTCTCCATCACTGGAGTACTGAGACCAGCATCCAAAACTATGATTGCAGGATGGGTTAGATCAGCCTTTAAACTAGCAAAGATTGATGCTTCCCCAGGTAGCATCAGATCAGCAGTAGCTTCTAGAAGATGGTTGGACAATAGACCAGTTCAGGAAATACTAGACAGAGGAAATTGGAAATGTTTAGAAACATTTTCTAAAGATAAGTAATCCAGTCAATTCAGTAGCAAGTGATTTACTTTATGATAATTTCAAAACTGTTTGAGTTATATTGCATATATTTTAATTTTGTGATTTTTCTAAAAGTAAAATAATTTTACTTTTAATCAATTATTGATAATAAGAAGATTCTATTATTGTTATTTTTATTAATTTTCATAAATTTATGTTAAATACTAATTAAATTAGCTTAATTTTATGTTAACCTTTAGAAAATTTAATGGATGAAAAACATTTTGTTTTCCTTGATTTTTATTTAACATTGTTATTTTCAAGATATTTATCATTTTATAATATAATTTATCAATGACATTCACATTGCATTCTTGTATGTGTGGATATTTCTGATCACCGGCAGATATCAAACAGGTCTTCATATCATTGCTGTGTTTTCGAAGGCATATAATATAACTGTTTTGCATTAAGACAAAACAGGTATTATATGGTGAAGAAAACACAGCAATGAGACAAGGTTCTTGCTGATGATGAAGACTGCAATGACAAATGACGACGAAAATGGCGGTAAAATCGTTGGCGCCCTCTGGTGTCAGAAATATGGAGGTAAACTCAATATTTTATTCAAATTTCGAAGGTATTTCCACAGAATCATAAGGACTGCTTCTTCATATCATTGCTGTGTTTTCTTCACCATATAATACCTGTTTTGTCTTAATGCAAAACAGTTATATTAAAGTAACAGTACAGTATTGATGTCAATGTCGACCAATTTTCGTCCTCAAACAACGTTAAATTACGAGCCCATACTATACACGAACTTACAGTTCGTGGACGAACACCACCGAACACATTATTTACTTTTAACATTTGGAATCGAATGCATTTTGTCCTTTTATCGTTCAGTACTTACTAAGTTATTTAATTTTTTAAATCAATTTTGAACCATTTTTATAGTATTAATAACTTCGTAATCATTTTGTTCGTCTGTTTATTTTAAAATTCAGTGCCGTTTCAGTAGCGAAAAATACACATGGTACAACTCTTTCACTGTCAGCCAGTTGAGTGACACAACTGTGACTTGAGTTGACTTGACAGTTGACACAACTTAGTGAATAGTGAGACACAACACTTCACAACAGCATTGATTCAATTGATTCCTGTCGATTTTACAACAACGTAAAATTTTAGATTTTATTGAATTAAAAATAATCTTCACGAATTGTATAATAACATCATGAATAGTATTGGGGAAGAATGTACCGAATTAAAGAAAAAATATGACGATTGCTTCAATAGTTGGTTTTCTGAAAGGTTTTTAAAAGGTGACCATGACGATTCCATTTGTGCTGGTATATTTAAAGTTTACCAAGACTGCGTCAAGGTAGGCTTCCATTATTCTATTGCTTAAACGCAATATTTATTACGCTTAACTATTTTTTTATAGACATAACGATCGCCAAACTTTTTGTAGTCTGTTAACAGACGTGAGCATAAAACGTGATATTTGATAGATTCGAAATAGATATCTTTTGAGTATTCTAAATAGTGAGTTTGTTGTCATTGAAAGTAATTGAATTGCTAAAATATATTTTAATTCTGATGCAATATATCCAGATTTTGGTTCATCGACGGATCCATAACCTATAAAGATATTGATTAAGTCAATATGATGTAGTAAAGTAAGATAAAACAGATTATCTGTTTATCATTTTGAATGATATCATCTGATTTAATACAAAAACTATGGATCAATAGACTACAATTAATTTATAACAAGTGCAATTTCTTTCAGAATGCCATGAAACAGCAAAATATAGATTTCAAAGAAATTGATAAGGATGTACTTGGCACAGAGAGTGAGTACAAAGCACCACCTTCCAGCAGCAGTTGACAAAACTGCTTGATGTGTGCATTGCAACTTGCAACTTACCACAAGATGATCTTTTGGAATAAACAAGTGGATTACAAATCAGAAAATAATATGACTAAGTAAATGAATGTTGTCAGCTTATTTTTTAGTCTAATGTAAATAAAATATGTTAATTTGTTACTCAAGAGCATTTATTGTGTGAGATATGAGTATTAGGCATATCATTGCCTGGCACATTATTAGTTCAAAGATTTATATTGTGGCTGTTATTATTTAGGTTGTTGTATTTAGATGTTTAGGAGAATTATAATTTTTGAACACAAATACAAATATTTTTTATTTTCCTGTTCAATATAAGACATTGAAATAAAATTACTTTTAATAAAAAATTATATAGGTGTTTATCTCTGGCTTGTATCTCTTGGTCTGTAAACATAGCCCCGACTCTTCATGTCTCTTATGACACCGGCTGGTAATCTTCCTGATACTGATATTGCATATACTCCTTTACAAAACCGGTCTGAAAACAAAAAAAAAATTAAATTAATTGTTATTATAGAAACACTTTTCTTTATCACTTATGATCAATGTCGAGGGCATTGGGACTACACTGAAATTCAATCTAGGAAAAGACTTGGGTAATCTTATTTTTTGAAGGCTAATCAGCCATGTGTGATGTGGTAAGCAATCTAGCTTCACCCATTGACATCAAAAACACCAGAAGAGTTTGTACAAGTGTGTTACCAGCATTTTAGAGGTTAGGCATAAACTGACTTAACTGCCCTGTTATCTCAGAGTAGTAGTAGTAGTATCTGCGTAGGGATGTAGCCTCGCTATGCATTCTATATCGCCTTTATCACGGGGAGTGTTCTGAGGAATTGTTAGGTTAGATCCCCCATGTTCATCCCCACCACATAGATGATTGGCAGTCAACAACTGCGATTGTCGCGTAACTTTCTGCCCTCACAGCAAAGCTGTGGAATAATCTTCCGGCAGCGGTACCTATTCCAGAACTGATACGACCTTCAAACCTTCAAGAAACGAGTGTACTCCTTAAAAGGTTGGCAACGCACCTGAGACTCCTCTGGTGCTCATTTGCCTCCTATTCCATAAAAAAAATGTACAAATTCTCGTGAAACTTACTTATACGTTGCCATTTGCAGACCCAGCTATCTTCTGGGCTCATAACAGCTATCATCCTGAAAATAATAATGAGAAAGGAAGCAATCAATACATAAACACCAAACACCTGTTATTTTTCAAGTCAATTGGAATGATGGTTAAAAATATTTCTGTATACAAAATAGTAGATTTATTTTGTACATATATTTATTTATACTGTAGGAATACATGAGTGGGGGAGTAGCAAGCTATAATGAAATGTATGGAAATTTAAAAATGACTTGTTTAGCTGAGTGACTTTTTGAGTTGAAAGAATCATCAAATGACTTCTGAGTATAAGAATAATAACTTATTGTGCTTGCATTGCCAACCCGGCTATAGATATGATCTAGGTACAAATGATTTTATTATTTAAAGTATTGTTTTCTTATATGCAAAAAACATCTTTATTATCAGTTAGATGCAGATAGGATATAATTTGAATTTACATATATTATGTCATCATCCTATGATTGTTATTGTCCGGCCGGGGTTTTAGGATAAATGTCAATAATGTACAGTGGCTCTAACATGGAGCAGGTGAAGGAAAGTGGTGGTTTTTAGTCAGGAGAAGCTATATGATCATTTTCATTACTCATAATAAAACCTATACCTGTACCAAGTGTGATAAATTATCTGCACCTATCACTAGAAACAATAAGCAATAAGATTTAGATGATGGATACCCTGGACCCAGATATATTTATGTCTGCCTGCTAACTTCTACATAACAAATCTTATTCCTTTCCACAAAGTTGTATTTTAAGACAGAAAATGCCTTACCCATCAAAATTGTTACTAGTGCAATCATAAACATTGTCCTTATTATTCTTCAGTCGTAGAAATTCATCACAGTTGTCACACCCATCATATTCAAACTGATCAAATGTCTGGAATATTATTAGAATTTCACTATTATTGACAAATCATATATTCTAATAGTACATTAATTATGTCATAATTGTCTTGGAAAAAATACCACAAATTCTTTCCACACTATAGTATTTCTTAATATGTACTTTAGAAGATATTCAAAAGCTGTTGCGTACAGTATCACATAATTCCTTTAAATAGTATTGAAATATATTAGAATTTAAGACGAAAGAATGGGGAATAAACAAAAATACCTTGATCAATGAGCAAACCAAACAAGCTCTTAACCCTCGGAGATCTTTCGGCACCGTCTCCAACGACATTTTTACGGGTAGGCAATTCAACTATATATTTCTTGTTACTTCTATTCGTATTTTCAGAGTACCTACATGAAATTGACCAAATTAATGGGTTGACATGTAGGTAAGCGTTTATGTTTCTCTTTCAAAAATGCCTGTAGTGCTTTGCTTTGCAACATGAAGTGATGAAGTAGACAATAGACAACGTGAGTATTACCCACTCTCACCAAAATTTACCCCACAGTTTTTTCTGAATACTCCTTAAACCCATATATTATTATAATTATTGTATAATTTTATTTAGTATCAAAACTGTTACGTACCTAACTCATAAAATAAAAAGTTACATATCATATCGCTATTAATTTGTTAACATAAATTTCATATAAGTTTTCATTATTAACCAAACAAATGTTAGCATTTCCATGGTGTCATCTCATAAATTATACGTATATTAAACGTTATTCAAATTGTCAACAGCGGGATCAAATTAAATACAACCGAAATCCAATTTGGTTAAACCCGTATCATCATGATACTCTAGAACACGTTTTCGTTTTAACAGCATGTTAAGTTTGAAGCCCCTTAAAATCCCTAAAACTTTTTAGGGGTTAGTAAATTCCTTACGTTAGTGGTAAAGTCCATATGTTGGCAACCCTGGACAACAATGAACCTATCAAATGAGTGGCACTGTCATAACAACTGACAGTTTCTGTTGACTTTTCATTTTAGTGGTCTATGACAAGAAAAAGTAAACTATACATTCATAGTCCATGGTATTATTATGGTTTTATTGTTATTCAACCTTTACCAATGTGAGCACAGCTATATTCTTATTTCATTGTATTTCAGCTTATCTAAAATGCCTCTTGGAAAAAAAGACACACAAAAACATTACACACTGGGGTAATTCTACTGACATAAACAAAGTTTTTATTGTACAAAAAAGTGTATTCGTGCTATTTGCGGTGTTGGCACTTTAGAATCTTATAGACCATTTTTCAAAAAACTACGAAAATTACTACTCTGAAAAACAAATTATTTTAGATAAAATGGGCTGCGATTTTATTGCAATTTTAATAGGCAGGATTAACATTCATCATTTTATGGCACTATATCCCAAATGAAACTCTATATAGATTACTAAGTCACGGTTAACGAAAATTACCTAGGTACTGCATAGAAGTATCATCGTCATCATAATCATCATTAACAATCCCTACATAACTATCCCACTGCTGAAAAAAATCCTAGCAAAGAAGAAGGCGCACCTTTTTAGTGAACTATCCTCCTTGACGCCTCAGCCGCCGCAGTTGCGCCGCAGTAAGAGACACTCAGGGCGTCGCGGGTCGCGCGATGATTACAGGCTACTGTTACAAAAGTAGTTAAAATTATGCAGAATGAAAGTTGGCCTGCTGGTAAGAACATTTCTAGCCCATGTACATATTATATCTGAACACTCTGGCCATCGCAAGCGCGAGTAGCTCGCCGCCCAGCTAGACCCAGACCCGAGCTTACGGCGCATAGCGTTCTGAACGCTCTAAGAACGAACAGACCACCACAGATGGGACCCAATAAGGCTAATGTTGAGCCAAGGTTGCGGTTCTAGCTTATTAATGTACTAATACCTACTCTGTCTTGTCCCACTTAGAGCAGGAGAAGTTATTTGAAGCTAATACCAAAAAAAACGAAGAGACAGTCGGCGCGGTCTAAAAAACCGGCCAAGAACGTCTGTCACTATAAGTATCCGCACATTGTAAATTTTAAAGCCACAAGTAGCTAAAGCGTAAATAAACTCTCGGCGTAAGTAGCAAAAGTACAGCGCTCAGCCTCTTAGGGATTGTATTACTAATTTATACAAACGGGTTATGTATCTAGGTATGATAACTTTTTGGTAGTAATTTTGGATTAATCATTTTTATTTCAAAGAATAGATAAGTTACGTTAAGAATAGTAAATTAAGCTAACAAAGTTAAAAAAAAATGTTGCATAAACGGTTAAATTACAAAATTAATTTTATTTTGTACCTACAATATTTCAAAAACTGTTCAACCCATCGTGTTCTAAATAATTTACCTACAAAGTAGGTATGTATGTGAGTTCTTCTAGAAAGTATGTTAAGTATTAAGTACTTATTTCTAAATGTTTCTCATGTTTTCTAATTTTATGGTTCAAAAGTTAGAGGAGAGGGCGGGGAAGCTCTTTTTATACTTTGGTGAGATTTATTTATGTATATACCTATACATAAATACCTATCCAACAATATAACACTCGTTAGGGTTAAAATAGAAAAAACACTTAACGTGTAACCATACGGACGGACAGACAGACAAACATATAAACTGACATGGCGAAACTATTGTTGTTCCTTGTTTACTACGACTCTAAAAATAATGCACTGAGCGTCAATGTGGACTGTGGAGACACCATTTTGTTATTTACTGTACTAATAGTAATTTAAATGTTATATTGTATGTCTATCAAAACAAAAACATACTTTTTAGTTCGTAGGGCCAACATTATTATCAGTATTTAAGTAAGTAATTGTTTTCTACGCATTTTGATAAGAAGCATTGCTCAAGGGTTATTATTCGATTAGTGTGGAGATCAATGAATGGGCGGGTGATAGGTCAGAAGTCCTCAATAGTTGACGTCATGCTAGCAGCTGCACGGCTACGCGTATCTTCGTGGAAATCCGTTACTGCGTAGTAAACTTCTACTAAATTTAAAATTTTAATAAATAAATGTTAATATATTTAAAATAAATAGGTAATTTATCGCAGAATCCTATTTGTGTTCGTTTGAATAATGTTTTTCACTTTGAATTTTCTTTAAAAATAGACATCTGTTAGATTATAATATTGATAATAGAATTTTGTATTCCCCTTGTCATTTTGATGCACCGCGCATATCATTCTTATTTTATAATTGGCTGTTTTGTAGGAGAATTATCCGTTGTCACGAATGAATTACCCACATATGAGATAGTTCCGTAGCCTTGATCAGCACTCTGGTTTTTACCTGTTTGCAATGTGGTGTTGTAAATTTGATATATTTAGTTTTGGTTTCATTAATTCATAATATACTAGCAGCACTAAACCAGTGAACTATTTATTTAGAGAGAGCATTGTCCTGTGGCCGTTGGCCACTATATCGTCTGATACTAAGTTATTACCTGCGATCTAGCATGCCTACATCCTCCTTTTGAGTTTATCAAAATAATCGTGAATAGTCATCAGCAAACAGGACTAGACCATGGCAAGGTAATAATATCTACTATTTATACTGTGACCATGGTTATGTCATGACCTTTAGAAGGTAAGGCAAGTCATTTATATTTCTATGTAGGTCCTAGGTGGTAAGAAATAAAAGCGGGCTGATAATTGAACCCTGTGAAACACTCATCGTAGCAACAGACCCGGCAAAATTTTAATTCAACTCTCTAAACGCAGTATGTGAGAAGATCTAGATGCGCCCGCCCCATTATGAAACGGCTTATGGTCATGGTATCATGAAGAATATAATCAAACACCTTGGACAAATTACATTTTTTTCCAAAAGCCCTCCTACGCGTCAGGCAATACCTAATTTTTGGTTAAGAAGTTTTACATTGCATCAGTTGTTAAACTTATGAACTACATAAAGATATATTCCTATAAAAATTGCATCTAGAATTATTATTTTGAAAATATTTTACTGAATGTTGATAGTATTGAAAAAGGTCTCAAGTTGGTGAGGTCAGAAATATGTACCACCCTATTTAAATAACCGGAATTATTCACTATTCTTTAGAAGATTAGGAAACACAACAAGTTACAGCTTACAATATACAGGTACTACATTCAACATTTCCCCATAGATCTGTAGGCCAACCATGAAGTGTTAAAGCGTAAATCTGTCGAGCGAGAAAGAGGGATGGAGTTATACATCTTCTATACTAACTACTAATTATAACCAAATACACCTACAAATTAACCTATGTACCTATCTATATAATACTAGCTAATCTCGCGCAGTTTCACTCGCTGCTCGGCACCATTTAATCCTAGCGTGATGTTTTACAGCATATAGCATTTAGGAAAATTGTAGCTGTATTGTAGAGCAGTAAAAGAAATTTGGCAATCCGACCAGCGGTTCCAAAGGTTACCCCCTACATACAAATTTTACCTCTTTATAATATTGTCTAGCATAGAAAAAACAATGCCAGTTTTCGTTGTAATGTCTCAATCAACTCAACAATGCCTTTACCGATTTGGTTAATTTTGGTCTTGAATTATTCGTGGAAATCCAGAAAAGGCTTGTAGGAAGATACGAAATTTTTTTTGAAACAGTGTAAAATCGCCGTCAATCAACGTGGGTGGAGCCGCGGGTGGCCGCGAGTTTTAACATAATATAGAAGGCCCAATATTATATTTAAAATAATTACTATTTCGTTTCATATTTGAATTGGTGCAGTGGTGGCCTCTCGAACTCGCCAGCTCCTACTGCAAGGCAGTCGTGTTCGCAAAAAAGGAGGCAGAAGGCGTTTTTTTTTTTTTTTTTGTGAGGGGAAAATCATCAAATGAGTTCTCCCGCCCAGGGCCGGGCGGGAGGGAGAGTCAGACTCTTACTGACCAAAAAATCCCCCTGTTCCTTCTCCTGCTCTCGGCCGAGGTCGCGGTGCCTCATTGCGCTTACCCCGCAACCCCGGCTGAACATCAGCCCTTTAGGGCCCCGTCTGTGGTGGTCGAATGGCTCTTTGAGGCGCGCGCGGAACGCTACGCGCCGTACGCTCGGGGGGCAGAAGGCGTGCGGGAGTTATTATCCTCCTCACTCCTGAGCTGTCGTTGGAGCATACTCAGAGAAAGAAAAGAAAGGAGGTAGTTTTAAGTCAGTAACACTAATACTACCCTTTCGCCTCACCCACGAGTCATCTGGTAAACCCTACCCCTTCCCCTCTCCCAGAGTAGAAAAATCTTTCAATGAGTATTTTTGATTGATTATCGCGATAATCGAAATACCTAAAATACAAACAAAATAAGTAGGTAAATGTAACTCGTATTAAACTATTCTATTAAATGGACAGACGGCTGGAATTGGCTCGAAAACAGTTTTCTTATACATTTTAAAATATTATAGCATTTGTTTTAATACAT